TCTCTCTCTCTCTCTCTCTCTCTCTCTCTCTCTCTCTCTCTCTCTCTCTCTCTCTCTTAAAATACAATGTTTAATTATAGATTAACCAAATTATTTAAAGTGATGTTTTAACTAATATATTATTTTCTCTAATAGGAAACATTGCTTTCTTTTTCTTTTTTTTTTTCTTTTCTTTTCTTTTTTTCCCTCTCTTTTTTTTAAATTATATTGATTTCATTCTCTCTTTAACAATTTTTTATTTAGTTATTACAATAAATTAGGAATTGGATTTAATATATGCATATACAGATCTCAAGAAGAAGAAAATATCCGAACATGTGTATATTCTTTGTGACAGAATGAGAGTGAGAGTGAGAGTAAGAATGAGAGGGACTGGAAGAAAAATAGTAAAATGTGCAATTTCGAACTTTCAATTACTTTCTCCATCTTTATAATCTTGTAAGGCAAAAAAATTTTTTATCGTATCTATAGCATCTGACAGCATTATTCGTGGAATGGTTGATAGAAATTCTGATGTAAAATCGACGAGAATTCATTGGTTTTCACTTGATCGGTTCTCATCGAACAGGATTTCGATTTCTTTTTTTTTTTTCTTCTTTTTTAACAACCATCGCCAAGCAAAACAGCTTGGAAAACTGCTAATCAAAAAAGCGTAATGGTGTCAAAAGAGAAAAAAAAAAAAAAAAAAAAAAAAAATAATATTTTCTTCTTCATTTTTGTTACTTTTGTAATTCGATTCATAAATAAGTTTTCAGTTTAATTTTTTTCAACTCATATTCTTTCTTAAGACCATATTTTTTTAAGATCCTACAAAAGTTCTAAATTTTCGCTCATCTAAATTTCATAGAAGAAAATTATTTCTAATGATAGTATACATGTAATATTGATAAGAACCGGAAGATAACCGATGATCGCTATAATCCTTGCTAAATAGTTTCTGCTCTCGTCGGAAAAGGAATTGTTACGATTGAATAGATAGATAGAAAGAAATGAATGGGGCAGGATTATATCCAGAAAGTGTATCGTTTTCATCGCTCATAAATATCGTTATTTTTTTAAATAGCAATATATAAGTTCCAAAGATTTCTTAAATATGATTTTTGTAGAGAGTTTTCAAGAAAAAATTTCCCGTTTATTTGATGGCTTGGTTCGNAAGGAGAAAATACAATGATCTCTCTCTTTAAAAGTTAGGGAATTCTATTC